ATAATTTTTTTTTTTTACAAATGTCCCATTTATCCATTTAAAGGAGACCTGCCATAAGAACAACATGGGGCCTGCTGTTGCCAACCTTTAATTCCGAAAATGCTAGGCTGTTTCTACAGGTGAGTTCTGGCAAGGAAAAAAAACTCCAATGGTTACCCATCTACCCACTCCTAGAGTGAAGGAGTATAGCTTGTATGGTGGCTGGTTAAGCAAAATCTCATCTCTTGGTGTAAGTCTCATTGAGTGATTGCTTGCCAATCAAATAGAAATCCGCATGGAACACAGGCACTGCCAAAAGTACACATTATAGTGCTGAAGTTTAGAGTACACTGCCTGTCACGGACCACAGACTAAGGTAATTACTTATAGGTTTTAGAAATTGAAATAGAAACTATAAAATGCCAATGAGGGAATAAGAGTGGAAACTAATAGGTTTCTTTCCATTGTCAGACTTCACATTTAAAGTATAATGAAAAACCAAGACTTGCTGCAGAGAGTCACCCTCTTTACTTGTCTTGGTGACCACTGTCACTGAGGCAGAAGTGCAAGAGATGCCACCAAAATCTCATTAGGGTGTGTGGGTGTGCTTGCAACAAGTAAAACATGCATTTACAGCAATAAAGATAATCTACCTGATGCCCAAGGGTTAAACAGCAAAATGAAGCCTCCTAGGCTGGTGACATTTGGCCTTCCGCCACTGGTAATCTGTAGACTCATTTTATATCTGCCAATAACTGCAGTGACTGGAATATGGATGACAATGCTCAAGGTGTTGGTACTACTTGGTCCATGTATCGCACTCCAGGATCTCCCACTCGCAGAGCTGGACACTGCCATTTCTGCCCTTGTGTTTTTCTGCACTGATGGAGAGGGACCTGACAAATATAAGTTATAATTTGTTATTTAAAGGAATCAATACTTTCAGTACTACTATTATAGAACACACACATCCACTGAAATCAGTTACACGTTAAGCAATGCAATCTAACAAGTCATGTTGTTTTGGTTTGACTAGGGGGGCTGTGCGATTTCTTTTTTATAAAAATTGAAGGGAAGGAAAAATAACAGTAATGTTTATGGCAGCCAAACACATCTAGTTGATTTAAACATCTGGCTAGTTAAGATAGGCATTGCCTTGCTTTCCTTTAGATTTATACAAAATTACTGTCTACTGTAAGTGCTGCCTGCAATTTTATTTGCATAAAAAAAGGTAGATACTGGCATAGCACGGGTAAAGACAGACACGGAGAGACTAAGCGGAGGGGCTACATGACTGGGGGGAGGAATAGTCCCGGGAGAAAGGGTTAAAAATAAATGGGAATAGCTGCTCTTACCTGATTGGACGTGGGAGTCAGGTGTGCGGGAGGAGCCGCATGGGAAGGAACTGCGAGGGCTGAGGGACGTCCTCTTTCCGGAAATCGACGAAGGAAGCAGGTTGTCCCTCCCTCCCTGAATTTTGTGGTTATGGGGGTTGGTGGGGGTTTCTTTTGTCACGGCAGCTTGGCGGGTTAGGGGGTCTTTGGGGAGTCTACATAATCGGAGGTCATTACAAAAATGGGGGCCCTCAGCTGGTATGGGGGTTTCCCCCTGTTGTGTGTCCGGATTTGTAAAGGGCGGTGCCTGGCCCCTTGGGAACCCAGAAGGAGTAAGTGTCCTCGAGCTGGTTGTGGTGCGCTGGGGACATGGGTGGAGTGTTATGAGAGGCATTTTTGGGCTGGCGGGCACCCAAAGACCTTCTCAGGTCAACCATTGTTTACAGTATTATTTTGTATATTATTTGGTTTATTACTTTGGTTATTGTTAAAGTTGTTTGTTTAATAAAAGGGCTGCTGTGGCCGTTAAAATCCATGTCGCGCAGTCCTTGTGTTTATTGGGGTTTTAACGGAGGGACAGAAAATTGACGAATCCATCAGTCATGTGAGTTACAGAATGTAACACAGAGGTGTGAGGCAGTGCATATAACAGAGAAGCATGAGGCCCTGTGTGTAATAGAAAGGTATGAATAACCCATGAGATGCTGAAGATACTGATGCAATAAGACAGAAGATAGTCAGTAAACCTCAAAGATTTGTTGCCTGGCCAATCACAGCCCTGTTAAAAGCCCCAATTGAGTGTCTATGGCACTCTATGAATTCCACTGCTTGTGTTGTAAAAGTTTGCATTTAGAACTTTCAGTTAGCACCAAATGGTATGACTGACGGTAATTTTTTTTTTTTTTTCCT